AGATTTGGTGTTTAACACTAAATCAGAGTTAACGTACCAACTCTCCAAAAAAAGTTAAATTAACACTCTGGTGTGGACCAATATAGACACTTTAATAGTGTTGAAATCAAATCCAACAGTGTTAATTTGGACATGCTGGATTTGCTGTGTAGGATTGACACACTCAATTAGTCCTCGCCAGATTATCTGCTAACCAATGTTAGTCTGTGGCCTCACATTCTTTCGATTAAACTGTAGTGTACTTACCTTCTTCACCTGTTTCATAGCTTGTTCCCAGAGCTCACTTTTCACCCGTTGCCATATTTGCTTACCTGGATCCAGGTCTCCAGCTGCTGGTAAAACCTCTCAGTCTAATTGCCATTCTCACCTGCCTGCCTCCCTGCGTTCCAGCGTCATGCTCCGTGCTCGCCCCTGCCCCCTCCTGCCTTTCTCCACCTGCAAGCAAGTAAGGCGTCTTACTTTGACTCTTGGAATTCATTCAAAATTCCTCTGAACCACTCTGACTGTATTCTCCTTTTATTCCAGTGCCCATAGTCAGCCATAGTCTCCCCTGGCTCAGTTCACGCACCCCGCTGTCACAGCGACTTCATAGTGCTCATGATTGTCTTGCCCTGCAGTTCTGCACCTGTGTCCATCTCTCTTCCTGGGCCGTTGAGCCATGACACACGCTCAGTTGAAAGGAAATTGGTTAGGATGATCTGAAGAACCCAGGAATCATGAAGGCTCAACCCTGCGATGAACTGGAAACTGCTTGAACACGAGCATTACTGTCCACAGTGAAGTGAGTTTTACATCTCCGTGAACTGAGAGGATGCTAACCAAAACTGACACCTTTAACCTTGTCTGAAACTTGTAGTTGCCCACATGGACAACTCAAATATACCATTTGGAAAAAATGTTTTATGGTGACATGAGAGAAAGATTAAGCTGTCTGACAAAAAGAGGTATGTTTGTCAAACATAGTGGTGGTAGCATTATGCTCTGTTGCTGATTTGATGCCAGTGGTGTTGGTATACTGTATTGCAAAAAGTGAATGGAAT